CAAACGCTCACCAAAGGAATAGAGATTTTTCCATTAGGTCTCCCCCTCAGATCCACGCCCAAACACTCACCAGAGAAAAGAGATTTGCCCAATCGGTCTCTCTCTCAAACCCACACTCACTCAAAAGTGAGTGCTCACTCACTAACAAAAAGACTCTCTTTTAGTCAAATATGTTTTGCTCTCCGTGAGAACTGATATGCACTTGCTCTCTCCTTTATATAGGCTCCTCCAGTTCGCCTTAGATCTCCACGAATTGATTTGATAGACTCCTCCTTGATTTTCTTTGATTTCATCTTTATCTTCAAGATCTCATCTTTATCTCTTGTTTGACTCTATCTTTTGAGTGAGTGTGGGTTTGAGAGAGAGACCGATTGGGCAAATCTCTTTTCTCTGGTGAGTGTTTGGGCGTGGATCTGAGGGGGAGACCTAATGGAAAAATCTCTATTCCTTTGGTGAGCGTTTGGGTTGGTAAGGTTTTTGATCGGTAGAATTCATTGTGAGAGAGAGTTGAAACTCAGGGGGAGTTTCATCTGGGTGTTGAGTAGCTCTAACAAAAAGTGAGTTGTACTTGACAGTTTTCTCAAGTGAATAGAACTGATTAGTTTTTCCGTTTTACTCTTTGAGGGTCCAAACTTCTTCAGTTAAAATAATAAAATTGTCTCCTTAAAAATTTTTAAAAATCATATGATACTCTTAGTAAAACAAAGTTTTTATTCGACATTGATTGCGAATGTGAACTGAATATAGACTCGATATTTATTAAATACATTTAATGAGGAGTTATTAATCAACGCGTTGCATCTCGAATCCTAGTATGACGAACAAAGCATTCATCAACTACGGGGAAAACGGAGAATGAATGGGTGAACGACACGTGTCCATGTCCACATGTGGCTTTGGTCAACTATATACTATTTAATTAATTACTGATTTTGTTTGTTTTTGTTCACGAACCAAGACAAAGCCCGACCGACAATAAGAGCCAAAACTAATTCTGTAATTCCATGTTACATAAGTTTATTACATTTGCAGATTGGTTTTCCTTTCAGTTTATCAATATAGTGATTTATCAAACATATTTTATTTAAATATCCTTTTCAGTGCCATAATAAGGATGAAGTAAATCAATTTTTTTTTGATAAAATATGATTTGACCCGAGTAAAGTTGGATGAAATCCTCTTTACACATATCCATTTACCAGTTGAGTCAGTCACTCCTGTCTCGTAAATCAAATATATTTGTTATATATAATAGTGAATTCGAAAATTGACACATATATATATATATATATATTGCATTTAAAAAATTAGATATTTTTGTTGAACTTGGATTGTATCTATCAATAATTATTGAAACGGTATGATTTTAAGGTTTGTGCACTACAGCACTGGTAGGTATATGAACATATTCGGATTAAACAAAAAAAAATATATTTGGTAATTGTTTTATATTGCAAATTTGGATACTCATAATTAACTGATGGAAAGTCTTATTGTATTTGGTAGGTGCCAAGAAATCATACAATGGTTACAAAATTTTGGATAGTATAATAAATATTCGTTGTAATAACTTATTATTTGGTAAGTCATTAGTTGAGAGGTGAAAAAATAATTTTTTAGGTTCGATTTCATTAGTAGAGAGGAGGGGACGTAATTAATTACGTGATAAATACTGACTCCGAATCTAGATGATTAACTGTGTCGAAGCTCCTAATCATAAAAAAAAAAATTCGTTATAATATGTGCAAAGATTTTCTTTTGGTAAAACGCCTAAAATTCTTAAAATCCAACATCTATATGTATATAATAGGTGTAGGTATCAATATATATTAGTGTCTAATATAATATTCACGTTTTACATTTTAACTACCGAGTAAAAAAATTACCTTTAGTTGCATGTCATGTAAGTATATATACATATATAATTTTTATTTTAGCCATATGCTATAAATATTTTTTGAAGCGTTTTATTGCTACATATTTATGAATGTATTTAATGACTAGAAAGAGGAAGGGAAGGACACGCATGCGATTTGAAGGCAGAGCAAGTGGGTGGTTCATTTGGCAAAAGCTACACGGTCGACAGTTGGCAAAAGCTACACGACGGACGACGCTCATCCCCTTTTTAGAGAGAGAAGGTGACTGTGCTGCTAGAGAGAGAAAGCGAGGGACCAACCCATAGGAGAAAAAGACCAAACGAAGGGAATATAGACTTCACAACACTACAAGAAGATCCAAAAAAAAAAAATACTGAAGGGAGTGAAGAATATACACGAGAAAACCAGATCTTTCCTCTTCATTTCCTTCCTCTTCCTTCTCTGTTCCATCTCCGCCTACCCTGAAGAAGCATCTCCGCTGCGGGGTGAATCTCGAAGCTACTTTCCGGGAGAATTCACAGTGATTCCTTTTGGTAGTGGCTGGGATTCTCTCGCGGATCTCACGTAAGAATCGGATTCCACCGCAGGCAGAGATTCTGTGTTATTTGAAGCCCTGGAAGTTTTGATCCTGGTCGGAAAGGTAAAGTCTCGCTGAGATAAAAAAAAATTCAGAGCTAGATCTGTGTTCCATTTGTCCGTCGGTGGTGTTGTCGGTGGAGTTTGCGGTTCACTGTAATTGGGGAATCGGCGCGCTTTCACGACGAGATCCGCAGAGTTCGGAAGCGGCATTGTTGAGATTCTGTGCTGTTCTTAAGTTTCGAGTTTTGTTTGGACAACTGAACGAGCGGGATAGAGAAGATGAGTGATGGTTTTTAGATTCCCTGATTTGCTTTTTTTGAAACGGTTTCGCAGTTCACCCATTTAAGTTTTCGAGAGGGCATTAATGGCGAGCTAAATTAATGCGTATTCATTGAATTCGATACTTTTATACTATGTTCTTTCTCTTTCACTGAAAGAAGTTCTTAAGAGTGACAGACGGTAACGCTGAAAAACCTAGTGAACGAGCAGAATCTTGAGCGTTTTTTTATTTATTGCGAATCTGTGTTACGAAGTTCATGTTGACAGACTTGGTTTGGTTGGGGAGAAATTTGCAAAGGGTACAGGAATTTAGTACCAAGTTTCTTCTTTGTTAAGGTCTGGCGATAATGACAAAGGCAAATAACTTGTGGATGCTGCTTTAGTTTTCGTGTTCACGGGGAATCTCCACTCTGGGTTTGTTGGATATTCAAAGGGATACTTAATGCCATCACAAGAAGATTGCCTGGATCCTTAAATTCATGTTTCTTCAAAACCTAAGATGTTTTGATCATTGGTTTCTGATTCTGGCTCTGCACCGACAGGGTTATCGTCTCGAACTTAAATAGTTGTAGTTTCTGTTTCTGCAGGTTTATTTGACTCTTTAATGCTGGATCGTGGCTTCTATCTGCTGGGGGGAATGATCTGACATGCATGCCTATTGAATCCGCCTAGCTTCAATCCCCTTCCCCTTTGTTTTAATATGTCAGGTACCTTCGGTAGTTCTTGGTTTACCTGTAAACATGTGTTTGATATTGGAGAACCTGAATTTTGGTTGCTTCGGACTAAATCAAGGGATTTTCTAGAAATTTGCTTAGCCAAACCAGGTAGTTATAGATATGATGCTACATACCCTTGAAACACTTTGTAGGAGTTGAAGAAATCGGAACCCTTAAGGAGATTAAGGAGAGAAGGTCAGATTTTGATATCTCAGAAGAGGAAAGAAGGCACTCGAAAATCAGGAATTTGCGAAAGAAAGCAATAAATGCTTCGAACAAGTTTACTCATTCCCTAAAGAAAAGGGGGAAAAGGAAAATTGACTACCGGATTCCTTCAGTTTCCATTGCTGATGTAAGGGATGAAAAAGAGGAAAGTTTTGTGCTTGACTTTCGTCGTAAGCTTCTTGAGAGGGATTTGTTGCCCCCTAGACATGATGACTACCATACTCTTCTGAGGTCTGTTGGTCTTACCTGAAAGCATCCATCTTTTGGATGCATAAACAATCTGGTTGCTTAAGCTTGACATGCTTTGTTGAGATAGTTAGGCTGACTGTGATGCTAATGAATTTATTGTGAAATGTAGATTTTTGAAAGCTAGGGACTTCAACATCGAAAAAACCTTCCAGATGTGGGAAGAAATGCTTAGATGGAGGAGAGAGTATGGGACAGACACCATACTAGAGGTATGGGGTTCATAGCTTTAAGCTTGTAAATATTATCTCATTTGTTGTAGTTTCCTTTAACAGAAAGTTGGTTGACTATAATATTCTAATTACTTTGATGCATGACTCCACCGTGTCGTGAACATCCATCATTCACTGATCTTAGTTAATGGAGTTTGTATCAGGCTTTTATCCATCTGAATCTCTTACATCCAACCAAATTCTATGTATATGGATGGTAGGATTTTGATTTCGAAGAGCTGGAAGAGGTATTGCAATATTATTCTCAAGGGTATCATGGAGTTGACAAGGCAGGCAGGCCTGTCTACATTGAAAGACTTGGCAAAGCTCATCCTACAAAGCTTATGCGTATCACCTCCATAGATCGATATCTAAAATACCATGTGCAAGAATTTGAGAGGGCTCTCTTGGAGAAATTCCCTGCATGTTCGATTGCAGCAAAGCGCCGAATCTGTTCCACGACTACAATCTTAGATGTGCAAGGGCTGGTAAGCATCTCATGTTCTTAGAAAGTTTGGATTTCTTAGCACTAGATTGGTGTTTCCAAGCAGAGGTTTTCTCTTCTGTGTTTGCATCATATTGTTCTGTCGGTTGCTCTGGGTTCCTTCTAGATTCTTAGTTTATCAATTTTATGTTAATGACAGGGGATGAAGAACTTCACACCAACAGCTGCAAGTCTCTTGGCTGCTATGTCAAAAATAGACAATAGCTACTACCCTGAGGTATTTGAGTTTCTCGAAAGGTTTCTTCTGTTTTGCTGACCTATCAGGCAGTGTTAATCGTGTGCATTTATTTTGCAGACTTTGAATAGGATGTACATAGTAAATGCGGGGACAGGTTTCAAGAAGATGCTTTGGCCTGCAGCTCAGAAGTTTCTGGATGCTAGGACCATAGCAAAGATACATGTAGGAATATGGCTTTCAGCATAATTTTCGTAGGCGTCTAGATTTTTGCCTCGGGTGATTTATCATCTTTCCGATTATGCAGGTGTTAGAGCCCAAAGCTTTGTCCAAATTACTTGAAGTAATTGATTCAAGGTACTCTTGTTTGCATTTGAAATATCGGATAATTATGCCTAATTAATTCTTACCAGCTCCTCATTCCGCACTTCTAGTCAATTGCCCGACTTCTTAGGAGGGTCATGCACTTGCTTTGCTGAAGGAGGGTGTCTTGGTTCGAACAAGGGACCATGGAATGATCCTGAAATTGTGAAGGTAGGTATCCTTTTTTCTCTACTCAGGAACTTCAAGTAGGATTCAGTTTTTAGATCGGACTTGTACAATGAAGCTTATCATAGGTCTATGCCTTGATAGCTCATCCACAATGGAGAGGCAGCCCTTGTACGTCAAATCACCAGAACAGTACACGGTGACCCTCAGAATTCTTCCTGTTACATTAGTAGACATCCAACAAAGGTATAAGACCTTTGAGCAAATGTCTTGATCAGTTTGATTACATATCTTTTCTCTATATAAAGCAAAATGGTATTGGATTTTAGGTTACGCAAACCTGCAGTTCAGGAGCAGAGCGTGTATCTTGTGCTGATGATCCCAGTTCTCTTGGCGAAGTGAGTTGTAGGGCTGGTATGCAGGCTAGGGCGTCTGATCCTAATGGATATTACAGTTGTGATGACAAGTTCCCTGTGCCTGACAAGGCTTTGGAAACTAAATCTCACTTCCAGATGCTTGAATTGGATCAAACGGCTGATAGTCTAAAAGACAAAACATCGCGATCAGGTTGCTTTTTACTGCATCACTTGCTATTAATTAAAGATATTCATGGCTGATCCAAGGGGACCTTACTGATAGAGATCCCGGATTTTCGCTGCAATTTTTCGCCATTTAATTCAGTCTCACTCCGGTCTCCCAGGTGCTCTCAACGTCCGAAGGCTTCATAATTTGAAGGGAGCTGTTGAAATGACAAAACCTGAGAGTCTAGCGAAAGGGTTTCTTTCGATTATGCTGAAACTAGTTGCACTTGCCAGATTTATACCGTTCGAGATCTTGAGAAAGCAGAACACCGTCTCTCAAAACTCGGCAGAAAATGGCGGGACCACGACAAGCCATATCCAAACTCATACAGATCCCGCAGTGGAAGATAGGATTATTCCATGTATGGAGCGCCTGCAGAGTCTGGAGAAAGAGTACGAGGAGCTCAGAAACAAACCCACGAGAATACCCGTGGAGAAGGATAGAATGTTGATGGATTCTCTAGAAAGGATCAAGTCAGTTGAGTTTGATCTTGAAAAAACAAAGAGGGTAGGGGATACAATCAGTTTCTGGTATCACTATATAACAACACATACGCTTACGAATTGCCAAAGGGAATGAAACATTTCTCTGTTTTAATTGCAGGTTTTACATGCAACGGTGATAAAACAAATCGAGGTAACCGAAATGTTGGAGAGACTGCGGGAATCTCAGCCGCATCATGTAAGTGCCAAAACACAATCTCCTTCGAGGGTTTATCACATAACATTTATGTTATAAGATCTAAATGGGCAAGGTGTTGTTGCTGTGCAGAGAAGAAGATTCTTCTGCTGAATGATCAGAAGAGGCTTTTGCAAAGTCAAGAAGAAGCTCCAAAGAGCAAACAACAACAGCAACAACTTGCACATAAAGAGAGGGCAGACAGATTCCGAGAGAACGCCCTCAGTTTTGCCTTTCTCCTGTAACTGGTCTTAGAAGTCTTGTCTTCCCCTTCCCTCTCTGCTTCCACCTATAAAGAAAAATATTTCCCATTGTTACATAGAGCCCAAATCGACTTGTTGGTGCTGAGAAGAACGACCACCTGATAATACATAACAAAAAAAAAAGGCCCATCAGCTCAGACAGATGGTGCAAATATTAAAAAAAAAAAAGCGTGACGGACTTCCCACGGTTGAGGAACTCTTCAGAATCCTATCCAATGAGATTGAGATTCATCTGTTCAAATGAGACATCATAGTACACAAAGATCTCGAATACGGTTCTCTTCTCATTCATGTATTGACTGTTAAGGGAACATCATATTTTTTGGTATGAACAAAACAGTTCCAAAAGAAAAAAAAAAGCAACACGCAGATGTACATTTGCACACATACACACTATTCACAAAATCAGCTTCGGCTTTGTGTTCCCGGGACCGTGTTAATGCCCGATTTCTCCGTTATATATCATCTGCCAAAAAGGAAATAACAGAGATTTTTAAAAAACAGCTCGGCTTCAGAGCCATTGATGATGCCTTTTAAGTAAAATTTGCGTTCAGGGTATGGAAACCAACCTTGATGAGGATCTTCATGTACAAAGAAACTGGCGGACACTATCAAATAACAAAGAATGAGCATCAACCCTTTGAAGTAATTCGACGTCCCTTCCTGCATAAAACCCATCCAACGACGTTTCCAACACAATCAAATACTCGTTATTACAACATGGAAAAATTTTCTGTTTATGTCACTTCATATTATAGCTTTCGGATTAACCCCACCTGTAGAAAAAAAGCTACTACTATCACGGTTATGAACAGCGTAGCTGTCTCGAAAAGCTGGAAGTTTAGATCCATCGGTTTACCCATTATCCATCCAATCACCACGCAGAAGGGAACCTGATTTTCAGACATAATCCGATCATGTAAGAGCGAAGACAATACATTTATATTGCAACTGCCAGAACTAGAAAGAAAAAAAAACAAAATTTAGAGAACTCGTCTGATACGTACTGCAAACATGGAGATCTGAATGGAGGAACCTATAGCCACTCCCAAGGACAGGTCCTGTAGAGGAGGAAAAAATTATAACTGGGTATTGAGTAAAATAATAAGAACAACGAGAACAAAAGGTGTTAGAATGCAAGAACATGTCTCCCTACCAGCTTATCTTTCATTGCAAACATAATGGCACCTGCATGCTCGGCCGCATTCCCAACTATAGGAAGCAAGATAACGCTGATAAAAGCAATTGGGATCTTCCATGAATCTGAAGCACCCTTCATATGAATTGCCAAACACAGAGAAAAGAATTACCCATAAGAAAAAACTGAGATACTCCGTGTTACGGGTTATAGGTTTGCAGAGCATTGCTCTGTTGTTACAAAGTTTTTCATCACTCTTCTTGACCAACATTCTGTACAGGCCATGACGCGGACTGCTAATTCTTCCACACAAGATCATTTTTCATAATCAGAAACTAATTTCTTTAGAAAATATTTAAATTAAAAAAGGGGGGAGGGGGTATAAGACAGATTATCCTTCGAAAGTTCTTCAATAGTAGCTGCGTGTTAGAGTTACTAGAGCAGGTATGCCCAATCAATCAGGTATAGAATGATTCCTTAGTCTATTGCATTCAACTGATGAGATAGCTAACAAATTATCTTGCAAGTATAGACTAGATAGTACAGCTATATGATCTTCCTATGGTTTAACAGTACTCAACCATATCCTTTTTTACCTCGATTGCATCAACAAGATAGCCAGAGAGAAGAGAGACCCAAGCTGTCAAGATTGAGAGCCAAATGATAGATTCCCATTTAGAGATCTCAGGTTCTTCATCGTTGTCAGAAGTCTCTTCGTTCTGATTTGTTACCTGAAATACCGAAACAACGTTATTATATATTTTTTTTAAATGTATGTTTACCATCTTAGATATTTATGTTTCAGCCACAGCCAAAATCATCATTCGCCGTTCGGGCTCTGTTAAGAACTTGAACAAATGGAAAACGCGTCACTCCCACATGAAGTAGAAATGAACCCATTACAAAGCCCTTAGGCTCCCTCTTCCTACAGGCTAGTTTTTTTGGGGGGTGGGTTGAGCTCAAGCTAGGTGGTTCTCATCAAGTTGTATTAGATCATTTCTATTCTTGGGCATGCGATAGTGGTGATAGGAAAGGAGTGAAAGGACATGGGAGCCTGAATACTAGCAGCCAACAAGGAAAAAAATATTAGAAACCCCTAATTTGAATTTGTACAATTAGTGCTTCTAATTAGTATTGTGTTGTTCCCCTCATTTTCTTATTAGGTCTTAGCTATAAATGAAGCTAGAACGAAAGAATTAGGCACACGGATAAGTTCTCCCTTTTCCGGAGTGTCCTATTCGGTACCCTAGTAGATTCTTCTTGGTATCAATACAGTTGTGCCCCTGCTCTCCAGCCTCAACAGAATAAAACTGACTAAATCAAAGCAAAATAGATGTGAAGGAGAACGAACCTCGGAAAGAGGGGCATAAGAGCTCGGCTGGCTCTTTAACTGGAAAAAGAGGTAGGCTGCATAAGCTATGAGCATTACACAACTGCTGAATCTTGAGAGAGCCAGCTCTGAAGATCCGGCATGAACCTCACTGTGAGTGTAGTGAAGAACAGCAGGTAAGAGTAGACCCATCACAGACATCAAAAGTAATCCTGAATTAACAACTGCATTTCCCTACTTAGGGAAAATGCAACAAGCTCAGTAACACGATGAAGAATAACAACAAGAAGAAAACAATGAAGTAAAGAAAGTGTGATATGCCTACTTTATCAAAAACTTGATCCTTCCTGTAAAATACAAGCCCGCCAGAGAAGAAGGCACAGCCGAGTACGAGCAACATGTTGGATAGAATCGAGCCTAGTAATGTCAGCTGTACAACACGTATCATTCCGTTTTTCAGAGCGAAAATTGATATGATCAGCTCTGTCACATTCCCAAATGTAGCATTTAGGAGGCCACCAACTGTGACATTTATGTATCACGTCAAAAAAAAAATCCACTAGAAACTACTTGCAATAACAATTGTGTCTCAGCAGAAATCAAAGTCATACCAGTTGGACCTGTGTAACAAGCCAATTGCCTGCCCCAAAGAAATGAACACTCGAAAACATCATTTCCATTACAGAACAATACAGATACCTTCTTCAAGTAAAAAACACAAGAAGAAGGGCTTACTCTGTAGCGTATCCTAGACGTTCAGCCAAAGGTGTAATCCCTAATAAGCTGAGAAGGAAGATCCAACCCTGAAAGCCACAAAAATGATCATTCATCAAGTTCTAACACGGACACCAGAAAAAAAAATGGAACTTTCACCATCATCAGCACCACAAACTACAGAATCTAACCTTATTACCAGTCAGGTGGTGGACTAGTATCGCTATAGGACCGAAAGGCAATAACAAATTGAGTTTATTTGAGAAAATAACGATTTTGATGCTCTCAAGCACGCTGTTCTTTGGCGCTTTATCTGTGTGTTGTGAAAAATTTCCAGACAGTGACCCTTCCTCCATCAGAATAGGGGATTTTGTTTCTTCATGTCTGAAAAGGCTTTTGTGCTCAAGTTCATCAACTGATCCCATCTGTCACAATAACGATCCCACGACAAACAAATAAACCCAGATAATCGAAACAATAACCATTCGATCAGAGGGTATACCACTTGTAAATTTAACTTACTTCAACCTGAGATGGAACAAGAGCCGGTACCTTGCAACAACCCATCACCATGTTCTAGAAATCAAGCAAACCCTTGAAGCAGAGTAAATCAAGTAATTTCGCATGAATCAAGACGGATTATGAAAGGGTGCAAAGAAAGCTCGGAACTTTACCTCGCTATCAAAGATGGGTCGGCGAACAAGATTCGGATAAGTTGCATAAATCAAATCCAAACTCAAATACAAATACCCAGAACCACTTCGATGTTTCTTCTTCTTCTTCCGGTATGTGGTAAGAAGGAGCGCCGAGTCTACAAAGACGATGGGTGGGTCCGCTTGGCAATTCTATGGAAATTGTGGTGTTCGGACAGGAGATTTCTGATACGGGTCTTGGTGTAATAAAAACCCCGAAATCTCAGAGGTTAGTAGAGCGAGAGGAATCGTCCTGGGTAGCAAATTTTCATCAGTTGAAAGAAGACAAGTTAGATTCTTTCTTTTTCTTTGGCGTAGTAGGAGAAGACTAAACGGGAGGGTTTTTATGTCAAGTTCCCCTCAAATCTAGGGGGAACTCTTCTTTGTCCAAAAGTAAATATTAATTACATAACTAATTAATTATGGAACATATGAACTAATTAATTATGCATTTATAAGTACAATAATATGTAGAAAAATATTTGTAAACACAATTCTCGCACAGAACAATATGTTTAGATTTATAGAGTTTGATATAATTCCGTAAAGCCATATCAATTACTGAAATTATAGATATTTTTTTTCAGCTATTACTTAGCAATTAGTTTAAGATTCTGAAATAGAATTTTTTAGAGTTTAACTTAAATATATACGATAATTAAAGATATTTTCTTTTTAATTAAAGTAGGAGATATATGTAATAATCACACACGAAACGGACAAGTTACTCTCTTTTTAAAGATATTTTTTTCAAGTATTTATACTGTACTTTTTAAAATGAATACACGTATATACGTAGCAATGGGTTGATTAAAAAAAATAACGGGCCTTTCCCATCGCAGAAAACGGTAATTATGGGCTTAGACTTCGACCCATATACGTAAAACTTAGGTTTGGATTTAAGATTTGCATTATAAACGGATAAGGGTCCAGTAAGATTCGAGCCCATTAAATCACACCTTATATTATATAACAGGTTACAGTTGCACCTATCAAATAATAACCACATTTAATGTAATGTGCAGAAAATATAAACATGCGCACATTATACGAGGAGAAATTATAATATATCGTTTTGATTCATTAATTATAATAATAATAATAATAATATGGTATGGTATGGGAACTAAATGGCCTCCGTTAGATGTTGTAACACATTTTTAAAGTCGATGGGTTTCTGTTTTTTATGTGTGGGGGTAATTTGGTAATAACGGGAGGTGATGGGTACTTTTCACATCACATGGTCTGTCTCTTGGCTGCATCCGACTTGTCCCCTCTTCTGTACGCATGGCCTGTTTGCTCATCAACTTACGTATTTTGTAATCATAATTCCAATCATATATATTTCATCCAATCGAATGTAACTTTCTTTTTAATTAAGTTATTTTTTCCCATTTTCTCCGTCTCGTTGTATGTTTTTCCTTCTTTACATCTTTGATATTTTCATTTTCATTTTATGAAATTTCCCTTTTTTAGGTTGTTTTCCTCTTCTTCTTTTTCTGCAAATATGTTTTTTCTCTACGTTTGTTCGTTTTTTTTGTTACGATGGAAAACCCTTATCCTACAACTTTTCGGATCGGACACCGGACACCGCAACGCCTCTCAACCCATGGATCGGACGAGAACGGCATCAAGACATCATCGCAGACCTAAGAAAATCCACTGCCCTATGTAGTAGCCAACAAACCATGCAGAACAAGTAAATCGGCCTCGTACAACTGACCGGCTCAAGAGGAGTTTCTATACCTGGGTTTCGAACCATTAACCTCTTGGTAGAGGGGAGTTATCATTAACTACTAGGATGAGTGACTCCCTTTTCCGTTTTATTTCATTTACATTTTCCACTTTTCCCTTTTTTTTTATTCTTTTTTCATGAGAAAGTACGTCCATCTTTTCTATATATGAAAAACACTTTTGTGATATACTTTTTCGGTGATAAAATATTTATAAATATATTCTTTAATCAATGGAATCATACTTTTCAACTAACAAACCATAAATTTTGGACGTTATATTAAAAGCATAAGGATATCAGATCGAAAAATCTCGTGGAAAAGAAGAATAAAAAAAATATCAAGAGTAATTAAAAGGAGGGTCGGTCAGCACACAAATTAAAAAACAATGCATTTGGATATTGAATGATGCATTGACTTCCAAGTTCCAACACAAATTTTTCAAAGATATTTTAAACAAATCAAATTATCGATTAATTGCTTACTAAAGATCGTCGGTCGAGTTGAATTATGGATTCTATTCTTATCTATGAGAACAAAAAAAAAAAAGATGTTCTCACCAAAAGCATTTTGATAATAACATTTAGGGCATAACTGAAATCATTACATATAAGTAGATATGCTGTTGGTACGAGGTTCTCATTTTTTTTTAAAAAAAAAAACGGATTCAACATATACGTAGCTTTTTCGAGACAGACACAAGCCGTAACTCATAAAAAAAAATGTATTTTCTTTCAGTTATAGAAATTAGAAAGAAAAAAAATGAATGCAATTGGGAGCATATAAAAAAATATCAACATTTGGTTATTCACTTATTTATATTCTTCTCGAAGCCCAATCCATATACGTGTGCCAGCCGCTGGATAATTTATTTTTAAAACTATTTGTATTATAATTGTTATAATTCGTCTTGTTTATGTAAATAAAAAAATGCATAAAAAGAACCAAAAAAATGTGCTTCTAGAAGTCTTGGGTTATAGGAGAGGGCTACCCGTTTCTTTTACTATATGACCGACATTAGTTTTTGGCTTGTTAATTCTCAGCCGTTGGATTTGCAAGCCTCAACATCTTCTAGAAACTATTATTTTTTCCTGCTGTTATTTTAAGATTTGGAAATCTTTTGTTATTTTTTGGTGCAATATTTTGTCAATTATTTATCCGAAATAGAACTAAACTATAAATAAGAACATAAAAACTAGCTTTTGGAAAAAAATATATAATCGTTAAAAGTTTATTAATATTTTATATAAATTAGTATTATCTATATAAAAATGGGTATTTATTCGGTTAAGATCCTTTGCGAATGTTTTGCCGTGAACACACAAATAAAGGGGGGAGTCCATCTTCTGGAACGTACGAGTCAAAGGGCATTGTTGACTTTTCACCCGTCAAGCTCCCTCTCAAGCCTCCTTCTCGGCATTGTACATATCGCTTTGTTTTTGGTCGGCTAATTTTTTGTATTTTTTTATTCTCTTTTGCGTTTCATTTTGTTGTTGTCTTCTTATGAAATTTCTGTTGTCATTTCCAAAAAACAAAACAAATTGAATTTGCCTACATTTATTTAGTCCGCTCACACCAAAATTCGATTAATAAATCAGAATAGAGCTAAATTATATTTGAATAACACCTCGTACTTAGTACTCCATCCGTTTCAAAATATTTGGAGTTTTAGATTATTTTCTATGTTTCAAAATATTTGTCATTCTATATTTTTAAGACATTTTTTACAATAGTTTCCAATTTTATCCCTATTAAATTTTAATAAATTATTAATGATAACATTATTTTTATCATTAAATAAAGATATATGTAATTTTTTCTTTTTTTTAAAAAAAAATATAAAATAACCTAAAACAATAATTATTTTGAAACAGAAAGAGTATGTATATAATTTTCGTGTTTAATTATATGTTCATCATCCAAGGAACGTGGGAAAGACTGGTGGAGTAAATAATTACAATTTTTTTTTTTTTTTGCAAAAACGAGAGGACGTACTTTCACCAAGTAATTATATATCGCACAGTAAAAGTCTGCTTTAACTACGCACGTGTAACGGTAATCAATCGTCAAAGAATTAACTGTTTTATTTATGGTCGATGATTGGGCCAAAAAAACTATTTTTCTAATTACATTTTTTAGTTTCCATATATAAATACATGTGAGCTACATATATCTTTTCAGAATATATATAGTGTCTATACGCCATGTGGAATGTCCAATATTTCACATGCTAGTCAAATGTTTATACTTTATATTAAAAATGAATATCTCCAAATTCTATATAGATTATTATATATTGTGAACAATGTTATCTTGCAAAATTATGATATGTAAACCCTGTCTCGGGATGGAAATAAAGCAATATTTAAGATCAATCTTTTATCGTTTTGTGCATTGATTCAAAGATGAATTGAAATTAATATAAATGTGTAAGGTTTAAAGATATCGATTTATAATTGAACGTCATTTAGAATACCTTATATTCAATAAAAAAAATATGCTATATAAAAATATTGTGATAGTTTGTAAAAACTGTTTATAAATAGTTTTTCTTAAATAACACGATTTTAGTACCGTTTCTTATATCAAATTGAAAGCTAGATGTAAAAATATATATAAAGCATATTTTATATCTAGATATATGTGTCTTGTGGATTGTTTTTTTAATGATGCATGTTATGATTGTCCTGGTTGCAAAGTTCATATATCTATCGATATGGAGTAAAAAAAGTTGTGTTCTATGGAGTAAAAAAAAAATGTGTATCAGACGCTCTCTTTTAATCTTGGACTTTCAAGTTTGTACAATATATATATATACACATTATAAAATGGTTAAATTCTAAAAAAAAGGTTTATTTTTAAATATTTTTTAAAAGTTGTATAGTTTTTAAAAGAAAATTTTTGCCTATTTTATAAAAAAAATACCCTAGTATTTTATGACATAGATTAATACGGTATGATTAGGGTATTGAAAAGACCTAAAAGTGTGTTCAAACGTCACTACACTCCATATGACCCAAAAAAAAAATAAAAAATGCTAAATTGGTTAGTCCCTTATTTGGGAGTTTATTCGTTTTTATATTTATATATATATATATACTATGAATTATTATACTATAAAAATTGGGGAAATATTATGAATATAATTATTGTTGGTTCAATGGAGAAATGAGGGTGAGTGGCTCTTGCTGACATTGTTATTAATGCTAATCAAGTGAAGTGGACCACGAAAATACAATGGACTGTTTTCCATGCATTTAATGCGAGCATCTCTATCTTTGTACAATGGACTGTTTCCATGCATTTAATGCGAGCATCTCTATCTTTGATTTTGCTTACTTTTTTATATTCTCGTTAAAATAATTTGCAAAGAAATATAAAATAATTTTTATTTTAGTATTTTAGGGTTACAATATATATGTACATATATATATATATATATATTGATATTGTTACAGCAAATTACCAGTAATAAAAATAATAATGATCAAGTATACGCAGACTAATGGCAAAAGAAAAAATACATTCCAATATCATTCAACAAACAAAATACATCCGATAACATATATTTGCATTAAATATAATTGTTGGTTAAAAAAATCCTAATCACTTAAATACAATTTTCTTAACATAAATAAATCAGCCGAGCCGAGAAGGAGCTTCTAGAAGGGGAAGCTGTGCACAGAAAAAGATAACTGGACTCCACGTCGGCCTCCCATCTATGGTCCCCACCCACAGAATCTTCACTAAACAGACGACGAGTGGTCCCCACTCAGCCGCGGCTTTTATACATTTTATATATTTCTCAATTCCACCCTTTTATTTATCATACTGTAGACATTGACCCCAGAAGCTTTTGTCAATTAACCCCAGAAACTATTATTAATTGTACGAAATAATCAGTGGTTGATAACTTATTTGTGCCTTTCGTTGTATGTGATTATATTGAATTAAGAATATATTTACCAATTAAAACCGAATTTGTAATATTCGAACTCAACGATTGAAACGAATTTGTAATATTCTAAGTTGGCAACCGAGTTTGTAAAATTATTCCAATTTACCAAATAAACCGAATTTTGTAATATTCCAAAGTTTCCAATTTACCAATTAAACCGAAATTGTTTTGGCCTTTTGACCCTCTATATATAACTGCCCTCTTCTCTCTGTCCCTCTTCCTGTGGTCCGCTTTGCTGTTCCTTCTCTGTCCCTCTGATTCTGCAAAAGCACATATTTTCTTCCATTTTTCTCTCTTTTCTTTCTTCGATGTCAGGAACCTTAGTTTACTCCGCCGGAAAAGCCATCTGGTCATCGCCGGAGAAGCGCTTTCCCGGATCGAAATCCGCCAGATCCCACAGCGGCACAGCACGGTTTCCCGGCGGAGCAACCTCCGTCACGGCTTCGGCGAGGACGCTATCCTCCGAGGCGGCGACGGAGGCGGGGGAATGGGTGCGGCGGAGGCCAGCGGAGAGCCTATACGAGGTGCTGAAGGTGAAGGAGACGGCATCGTTGACGGAGATAAAAACGGCGTACCGGAGCTTAGCGAAGGTTTACCATCCGGACGCAGCGTCGGAATCGGACGGCCGGGATTTCATGGAGATCCACAAGGCTTACGCCACGCTGTCAGATCCGACGGCCAGGACTCTCTACGATCTGTCGCTGGGAGCTCGACGGAGACGCGTCATTGTGGGTCGAGCGGGTCGGGTCTACACGACCCGGAGATGGGAAACGGATCAGTGTTGGTAGTCTTTCTGGTAATTTTTTTTTTTTGAAGAAAACAATCTCTTTTTTCCATTGTTTTTTTCCCTTTGTAAATTTCAGCCGCTGTAATTAATCTTGAAAAATTAACGGAAAGTCAGATTTCTGTTGCATCTGTAAATACGGAGCCGTCCGTATTCCTTTCCTCTTCTTCCTTTTTCCGGCACAAAGCTAAGTTGAAAATTAATATACAAAATAAAAAAAAATGTTGGAATATTCTTTAATTTTGTTTGTCGAGGGGAGTTTGCAACTAAAGAAGGGAAAAATAGTTGAGGAGGAGAAGACACTGTTGTGTACTTAAATACCATTCAGTAGAATGTAAAGTACTTGTTGTTTTAGTTGAAGTTTCCCACAATTACCACAAAAAAATATGGATCATTCGTAAACAGTTATTTCATAATTATTGTCTGGTTAATGCAAAAGACGTTTAAAAATAAAAATGACGACTTTGAATGGTAGAAAATGGGATATGGACAGAGACAGACCAGCTCGGCTTCTCCTCCTCAAAAGGAAGAGAAGATGAACAGACATCTTTGTCTTGTTTCTGTTTGGTTTTACCCGAAATATCCGTTTCCCAGAGGAATATATAAGAAGGAGACTCCGTCAGATTTTACATTTAAAGCCAAAATTGGGAAGAAGAAAGAAAAAGAAAACACAAAAAAAAAGGTATTCCTATGTGATCACTGATGCAGATATGAAGGCAAACAAAGACACAAAAGCATGTGTAATGCAGGAGAGAGAGGTGTTGACGTTACAATCATTTACAGCTCATGAGCATGGAGTTGATGACGTGCATGATAAAGCGGATGGAGGATTGGTCAGGAGCGGAGCGGTGGTGGTGGTGGTGGAGGATCTGGTAGACCTGCTCCAGGATGGGTCGGGCGTGAAGGGCAATCATCTGGTCAGAAGGGTTTATGGCTGCCAACACGTCAGTCATCCACCCCAGCTTTCTCGTCGTCTCCTTGTTTATGTCACACGCCAGCTGCTGCAGCAGTGACAGCAGTACCCCTTGGCTCAACGGAAGCGGCTCCATCCTCAGCAGTCCGTGTACATCCACCTGACCGGTATTGGAATGCTCTAGAATTATTATCCATTGCAAGTTTCTTCTTTTTATTTTTGTGAATGAGACTATCAAGGAGATTTATGTAAATATGTTTCACCTGCGAGCATAGCCAGGAGACTATAGATACATCACTCCTCTGTAGAGCAGAGGTGAAAGCTTCCTCGTATTTGCGCTCTGATACCAGCCCAGATAATTCCTTTGTTGGGTCCAAAGGTGCCTCCACCTGAAAAGGAACAATCATATTGATGCACACAGCACTTTGTCCAAAAAAAAAAACTACTTCATTCAAGACTTTGCACATGCTTTTGTTCAAGAAAGGGTGCAAAAGACCTTTTCAAGGAGGGGACCCAAAGGTCCGCTGCTTAGTTGAGTGACCAAGGGATTTGATCCACTCGGGTTTGCTCCAGCAGCTGCAAGAGCGATCAGTTTCCTCTGACCATCGGATAATTCACAAGTCAGCGTCCGTGCAACTGACGATGCAGAGTTAATGGTTTCCTGTAAAGCAAGCAACAAGATTAGAAACAGGCCCGAGAAGATTTTAGATAACAGTTCATCGCGCATGGGCAGAGACTAAACAAAAGGTAGATAATCGTGATCTCAATTTTTGTTGTGCCATCAAAAGTAAGCGCGTACATACCCTTAAAGTATGAGCAAGCTGAGAATGTGAAGCTTCAAACTGTTGCTGGGCAGCACTTGTGAGCTCAGCAATGCCTTTCTGGAAGGTTGCGTCTACTTGCTCAAACATGGTCTTGCATGACATCTCAAAGGCAGGGATAACTGAACCCTCCAGACTCGATCTGAGAGCCTCCTGAAAGAACAAAGACAAATTTCTCAGAGATCAGCTCTTTGCAATGGACACGAACCACTAAATACCTGGAGTGGCATGGCTTAGATACTCTAACAAAAAGAAACTAATCAGAGACTTGGTTCAACTCACACCAACCTGGAGGGCTTGCCTGCCAGTGGTCTGAAATTGCGCTTGAATTTGTCTGGCTACAGTCGCTTCAAGTTTTGAATTAACAGATTTGTCGAGCTGATTGATTGCCTTATCACCAATTCCCCTCTGCATCACAAAATAGCGGGTTAAATTTCTCAACAATGTGGTTTTCTCAAGAATAAATCTTAGATTTTCAAAACACTAACCTGGAAGGACTCGGTGATTGCTGACGATACTGTTTTCTCAATAGCAGGTGTTACTGCACGGGTTATAGCCGGTCCGATTGCAGCAAATTCTTTCTTCACCACTTTCTCAAACACAGAATTCAATTCTTTGCTCATGAAGTTCGTCATAGTATTCACCATTTGCTGTGTGTGGTCACACAATGTTTTGTCATTTTTAGCCGTCTCCTCTCGAAAATGAGCCCATAAAGCATCGCTGTTCGCTTTGGTGACTTTCTCTATCATTCTTCCTAAAGCTACTTCTAGTCTTTTACCTTCTTTAGTGATAGGACCATTGACAGCATTCGATAGTTGTCTCTGCATCTCCTTCTGTGAAGCCATTACCTGGAAGGGAAAAGAAAAATTGCCAACATAGAGAATCAAACTCTGATAGAATACGTTCTGAGGGAAAAGAGCCATTGTTATGGGTATAATATAATATCTTCATAGATCAGAAAATATTATTTAAAAAATCAAAACGATGCTGTATTAGTTCCAGGATTAACAAGTCACCTGACTAATTGTCTCTTGCATAGCCAGGAATTGAGGCAGTAGAGACTCAGAAGTTGGAAGACTTGAGTTTCGACCTTCATTATAAGAGTCAGCATTTGATGATGTAGACAACAAACCACAACCCTGTGGACTTTTAGCCCTCTGTTTCTTCCCTTTGTTAGAAGCTGCTGGCTGTGGAAGCGTATTTTGTGAAACCTCAGGAAGCTTTCGAGATGCACCTCCTGAGTCAAGACCTCCTTCCTCCACAGCTTCTGAAGACTGGCCATGTGTCTTTGATTCCTCGGGAGCATAACTCTCCTCCATAACAGCATGACAGTCCCTTGCCATCTCAGTGCTGAGATTTGAGGCCTGGGAACAGAAAGTTTTTTGTCTATTTTCTGAAACACGGTCATCAGTTTCATCGCGATAGTTAATTTCATCATTCTGAGATGATCTCGCTTCACCTACTTCATTAACCTCCACCTCTGAGCTACCCACATCAGTATTCACAACATCCTGAAGACTTGCGTCTTTATCTCTCTTGCCTTCAGTAGTACTGGTGGCTTCAGCAGATGAAACACCCATCAATATCTCTGAAGGAGTTACAAGATGAGTGGGGTGTTTGAACACAACAGGTGGGCTTCGAATCACAGATAGATCATCAAGTGTGACCTTCTTTTCATCACTCCTTGAACCATCATCTACAGAAGACACATCCGACAAACTTTTTCGACCAACTTCCATTTGTCTGTCAACGGAATAATCAGTGGCTGATGGTTTTTCACGAATGTCACCCTGAGATAGTGCTGGCTCGAAGGTATTTCCTGGAGCACAATAACCAGAAAGTTTCTGTGACAGCCTAGGACTTAGAGGAAGTGGTGGGTAAGGAGCATACCCAATATCAGTATCACTGGTAGCAGATGGAAGACCATACGTTTTAGGTTCACTATTGGTTGGAACGACTTCTTGTGGTGTGGTCTCCAGTGATGCAGAGCTCCCTGCAAACCTAATAGCATTTACACTGTCCGATCTACTTACTTGAACAGGTTTGGGCATTGAGTCCACTGAAGAGAGTTCTGTAAGCTTTTGTCCAGCTGCGTCTGATGTACCATCAGCAGGATTCACCTCCCGCGAGACACTTGAATCTGACTTCTCCAAACCCACATTCTCTATAGGAGGTGGCAAGCACTGGCATAAGTCTAAAGTATATTGTTGGATAGCTTGAGTCTGAACACAGTAAACCTTGACAATATGCTCATCAGGAGGATCATTTGTCCCTGTAAAACTCAATATAGGCATAGTGACTGTAAATTCTGCCAAGTAATCCATCCTTGTCTCAACTGGACAAGAACCATAGTCCAAGTGCACAGCATAAATGGCGTTCCTTTTTGCATTTGCAAGTAGAAGTAAGCCTGCTTGAGGCAATGCTACGACTTGGTTGAAAAACGCCTCTTCAGCTCGTGGCTCAGCTGAACTCTTTAGGTCAAGTGTCTGGGTGCACTTCCATGATTCAGCGTCCATAGGTAGGAGCCACCCTTCTTCACCAGCTGATACCCAAATTTTCATTTCTCGGTTTAGAGGACCCTATAGGAAAAAGAGTTATAAACACAATTAGAGTAAATCAAAACAGAGAACTAAGGTTTTAAAACGCGAACCCATAATGGGCGAGTCGTTAACACATGATAAAGCTAGGAAAATCAACTAAAACACACAAGAATTTACCCCCGTGATAAGTATGATGTGATCAGGTCTCTCGGGAGCTACAAGGAATGTTGCTGAACTGACTGGATGACCATCATGCGGTCTTAAAACTGCAAGTGGTTGTGCCTTACGGTCTTCCCATATCTTAATCTGCACAGGAGAATTTGGGTGAGGGGCTTAGCCTGACAATCATGCATGCACAAAGGCCAAACTCTTCAAAAACATGTCTAGTTTAATGAAATGAGACGATACCCCATGCACACATGAAGACTATGACAAAACCAGCAAACCATAACTAGAGATGAACAAGGAATGTGCTAATCGATTCTCCAAGTTAATTGTATTAACTAAAAAGGCAAGATGCAGTAGCAGACCCAATCAAAGCTTCAGCTGAAGACCTATACAATCTCAAGAGCTGCATTTTCTTTCCATCATTTCAAAAGAGAATACAAAGAAAACTTAACATAAAAAATCAATGTTCATCAGACAAACATGTTATTCTGCAGGAAAATCGGACTTTGATTGGTTCCAATTACAGAAAAAGCTTTCAAACGCATATGCATGTGATGGAAATTAGAATGAAACAAAATGATAAAACAAATACAAACCGTGCCATCCACTGAAGAAGAAACCAAGCGAGTTTTCATCCACTGGGACATTGACACATCAGTAACTTCTCCATCATGATTACCAACAATCTGGATGCCATCAATAGGCTTATCAAGGGGACACTGAAGTGGAGCCTCCGCTGAATATACTTCATCCTTGCCAACTTTGGTAGTATCAATCCGTAACACGTGTTTTCCAATTGAAACAACCAAAATTTCCTATAACAGATGCATTTTAAGCAAGTCACTCGGTTATAAAGATACATCAGCGTTACATAAGGAAGTTACTCGGTTACCTGCTTGTGACAGTGCCAACACACACGTGGATGTTTTGCATCCTCCTCCCCTAATATCTGAACACCAAGAACTATTTCTCCAGTTATCTGGGGCTGATCCTCTCCCTCTGACCCTTCAGAAATTTTCCATACAAAAACTTTTCCCTCCAGACTAACACTGTTGAGAATAAAAGGAAAAGTAGACAATGAGATAAGACTCAAACAAAAGCTTGAAGCCACTGGCTTAGAGTTGTAGACCCCTACCTAGCCAACAGATGGACATCCTCGCCAAAGAATGCCATGTCCGTTACTCTCTGGACACAACATTAAGTTAGAAAATCGGAGGCAATGCAGGGGAGCGCAATGCATGACAACAAAAGTGTAACCAAAAATGTAAAAATGAAAACACTGCCAATCAAGATTTTAACCAGACGAGTCGAAAACATGGAAAGATATCAATCTGGACAACCAAAAAGACCGATCAAACTAAATGACAACATCAACAAGATCCGTACGCCAGGTGGGTCGAAAACATGGAAAGTGAGCAATCTGGAGAACCAAAATGGCCGATGAAACCAAGTGACAGCATCGACAAGATGGTACTTCAATAAGTAAATCCACTCCTTGAAGCAAACTTCCACGTTACACGCTTCAGGACTAGGTACAGAGGAGTGTCTCGTATTTGAGTAAATCTAAACTCAACATCGAACTAGAGCAACGCGAATAAACTGAAGAAAGGGTAAGAAGAACAACCTGAGTATGGCCGCGGAACAAAGATCTCAATGCGGTGTTTATGTTGAGAACCCGAATGTTCCCTCCCTTCAGACCGTAGCATATATAGACCTTATTCACCGCGATTTGTCGACCGACTATAAGCTGGGGATCGGACCCGTATTTGGTAATCGGAGTCACCTCGAGTTGAGGTTGAATCTCTCCCTGCAATCTTACGTTCACGTCGTACACCACATGCTCGCCGACCATGCGCCTTCCTTTGGGCAGCTTACAGCTCTGGGCACGGATAGGAACCGGACCGCCCGGGAACGGCCGCGTGATCTCGTGGGGTTGCAGCCCCGGGTGCTGAAGCGACGGATCTTGATTGGCAGTGGCGCCGTTGTTGCCGCTTCCGCCATTGTTATTGTTGAGGAGAGAGAGGATGTGCGTGCCTGGGTTGAGGTTCGCTCGGGGCGGTTGGAGGTTGAGAGGTGGCCTAGGATAAGAAAGCGATCTCTGCGGGTGAAGATTAGCAGCGGTGGCGGAGGGGGAAGCCAGAGGCGCATCTTGCTGCTGTTGAGTCTGTGCCGCCGGAGACAGTTGGCCGGCGATACCCGGAGGCATGTAGAGCTGGTGGTGGTACTGGTTGTGGAGGAAAGGCCCCGTAGGTGGAGGATAAGAAGCCGGGGGCGTAGGAAAAAGGTTTGGAGGGGGTTTGAAGAAATTACTGGTATCGAACGGAGGAGGATTGTGAGTGTTAGTGTTACCAGGCGAAGACGCCATGGATTTAGCAGATTCAAGATCGCCGGAGCTAGGGCTTGTGGAATCGAAAGATACAGCGATGTCTATGTAAGCATAGATTCTGGAGAAGATTCAAGAAAAGGAAGAGTCGACAGATCTGAAGAAGAAATCGAGAGTCTCAAGAACGGGGAGAGCGAAGAGAGAGAGAGAGACGATGACGACTTGAAAGTTGAAAGTGAAGAGGGAGAGAACTGTTGGAGACCAATTTTTTAACGAATTAATAAATGGGGCATGATTGTAACGTAGGAAAATTAACGGGGCAGAAATGTGAAATCGGATAAATGAGGGAATCTTTGTGTAAAATTGTTTTTCGATAAATGTCAAACATCAGTGTGGGCTTTTAGTGCATTTTTAGTTGGGCTTATTTATTACAAGCCCGTTTCCAGCCCAAATAAGCCCAATAAGCCCAACTCGCTGCAGCTTGGAAATATTTGAAACGAACTATTGTAAAAAGGAAAAGGGATAATCACATTAGCAAGAGGGAGGTGGGATTAAAAATAGAAGGAGAAGAAGACCGTTAACCGAAAGGAAGTTGGATTTGCGAAGCTTTACATGCAAGAAATAGGCTTTCTTTAACATAACGTCCACGCACGCACCCACCCACTCCATTTTCTCTCTCTCTCTCTCTCTCTCTCTCTCTCTCTCTCTCCACGTTTCTCTCCCTCTCTTTCACTACCAACAAACTCAATAACAAACCAAATCCCCTCTCTCTCTCTCTCTCTCTCTCTATCTATCTATCTATAAACATATATATATATATATGTATATAGATACAGCTAAATATATAGAGACTTCAAAATCTTAAGATTTGGGTTGGATTTGGTTCGATTGATCGAAAGATGTGTTGCTGCTGCGGGAGGATATGCATGCTTTGCACGTGTCTTGTTCTGATCTTCATCGCCATCGGCTTTTTCTTCGGGTTCGGAGTTTTCAAGGAAAGCTTCCACAAGCTCCACAGCACAATCCATCGCGATTGCGTTTCCCACCTCTGCTCCCGACGTTCCTACGGCTTCTCTCCTCCTCCCCGCCGATTCTAGCGGTCCCCACGTCCCCAATCCGCGGATTTTTTCCAGGTACATTTGGTTTAAGAAAAACCCGTCCTCATGCCATGTTGTTGGTTTTTTTAGGCTTCAGAATAGGATACGATTTAACCATTTATTAATGTTGTATTCATCCCATTTCGACGCTTTGTTTTCTCCTCTCTCTCTCTCTCTCTCTCTCTCTCTCTGTGCGAATGTGAATGTGGTGGTACGTGTTGGTTGATCGTCACCGATCATTTGTTATATATCAATGCGTTGAAATATCACCGTTTTGATTAAAAGAATAAAAAACATCGATATAGGACATTTATACACGATATACACATATAATTCAATTTTCATCGTAAATTCTCAATATCGGAATACGATATATTCATACACAAGCTTTCATGCAAAAGAGAAAACTTTATATATATATATATATATATATATATATATATATATATATATATATCGTACGTAAACATCCTACATGTGTTTCCATGTGTTTCCTAGTTTCTTTGTAAATCAAACTCCAAGACCAGCTACATGTCTCTGTCACGTTAACTTGTTTAAATATATATTTACCAACTATATAGTATAAATTAAAATAATTCTTCCAAAACTATAAAGAAGATTCTCTGACATGCTTTTCTTTCAAAGTATTAAAGACGAGTCCTTTAAGCCCAAAACAATATTAACATATATATATATATGGGATTGTACGGCCGACCATGCATATTTTTATTTTCAAATACCCACTTGATGAAACACGACATTAGAATTTTCAAACACATTTACGATCTCGTGGTGACTGCTACTTGTGCTTAGCCCAAACACAAAAAGGTCCAACCACGTGACCACAGTTTCGACCCAAAAAAAAAAATTATTTTTCATGTACAAAACGCAATTAAAATGCCTTTTTTTTGTTTAAAATTCCCTTTTCCCCATGGAAGCAGAAAGAAGCAACGATCCATATCAAATGATGAGAAAAAAAAAAGATAGCAAACTTTTGGCTTCTTTTTAAGTATATCCGTTTGGTTTCTCGTCTCCTACGCTCGTGGCGGCTCTTCTCTGCAAGTCGGTTTCGTAGTGTTGAAACGCCGCGTCGAGAGCCTGCAACCAACAAACACCGGTTAAGCATTAACCGGTCCGATACCATTTTCATACCCGGACAAAACCAGTTACAGCTGATTAACCAAAAAACACAGCAACTCACTCACTCCATCGCTCTCTCCTCCCATACCGGAGTTAGTTTAACCGAGATCTTCGGTTTAAGTTTGCATCATACACACAAACTCGGTTTAAGATCCGAAACAAGACGCTGACTAGTCCGAGAATCACAGCATTGTTAGAAATTATCCGACCAAATCCGAATAACAGTAGTATGTGTTTATGTGTGTTACCACTTGATGTCACAGAAGAAGCTAACCAGCTGCATTGGACGAACCAGTAGAGAAACACGATGCCGGATGTCCGATTGCACCGATTCCTTCACCTCCTGAATTTCCAGGGTACATCACAATGCATTATCAAATACCAAAATTCATATACATTTACATGTAGGAAAAAAAAACTACCACATAAAATCTGTAATTAGTTCTCTAAGAAAAAACTCTAATACTCTGTCCATTTGTACTTATTTGCGCCTATTCAATTCCACAATTGTAATGTATAATTCGCAATACATCCATGGAATAAATACATATTCATGGGAAAAAAAAGATTAGATAAGCTAAAAAGAGGAAAAAAAGATTTTCGTTCAAGTTCCTCACATCTAGGTACCAGTATATGCATTGGTATCTTGATATTAACGTGAACTTGTTTTAAAAACATTAAGAGAAAATGGCAGGGGCTTTTTTTTTTTCTTCATAAAGAGTTGAACAGTTCAGAGCTTACCTCGAGCTGGGAATAAGTATTGGACATCCCATCCTTAAGCCGAGCGACCTGCATATTGATATACGGCACAGACAAAGCAGAAACAAAGTATGATGCATACATACATTGTGTATAAAAGCCTTAATTTCTCTCAGATTGCCCAGAAATATAAGCAAGGATGGTTCCAGAGGAAAGCACGAACAAAGCTGAAAAAACATGACCTTGACATGAAGGTATGTGGCCGTCATCGGGTAGGATGTCCAAAAATGCCTCAGCAGTTCTTGTATAGACGTTCACTGCTGTAGAATACAAAGTTTGCTTAAAATTTTGGCTTCTGAGATGAATTGCAAACAAGAAATAAGATTGGAATCATTTTTTATTTCTTGAAATAATATCATAACATTTCTTCCTATCACACTTTGCCTTCGCTAATAAGCTAAACCGTAATAGAAGCCTAACTATCCTTAAAAACCAAACGTGTCCACTCAAATCATTCTTAAAAGCTAACTCGCAGAAAGAAGAAATCAATATATTACATCAACTCCAATGTATACGGCAGCCTACACTGATTACATGATTATTCATTCCACCAAAATTGCTCTTTACATGAGATTAGCTTCTAATACCAATTGATAAAAGACTAAGCAATGTTATATCCATAGCGATCCTCAGAATTCCGTGGCTAGATCTGATTCTTATTTGGTCATATGAGGGGTTCTCATCAACTTGCTTTTGCAGATCAGTAGACAAGTAAATAATCTAGTATGCTGTTTCTCAGATCAAGCCTTTCGCAGTGGTTATACGTTTAATGGCATGAGCTTGTTATCAGTTAGAAAATAAGCCAGACTTACCAGTAGAATCTCTTCTTTGGTAGAGTCTGGCAGTCTGTCCAGAAAGCTATTCCAAGGATTCTTCCCGAGATTATATTTAGCAGTTGAGATAGTTTGAGTCAATGAATTGAAAACCTGAAATCACAGCTTAAGCAGCTATTAATAATGGCTCAAACCTCAAAGCAATAAAACATGTTATCAATTTTTAGGTGTCAAGCATTTTTTGTGACAAAGATTGGCCACCTTGAAAGCAACTTCAGGTTTAATCAAAGGATCGCTTAGTCCCGCTGTTCTAATCTCAGAAATGGATTCTTTCAGCGAGCCATAAGCTTCCCGGATGCTTCTTTTTAAGGACCCTCGCCACCAGGTACATCTTTGGAAGTTTTGAAGGTGTTTGCTTGTTGAGATTCAAAGTAATCACGAGGGTCCTGTTTCCAAGCCAGAGAAAGAAATCATTTAGAAAAGCCCAGCAGGTCCATCAGAAAGCTCTTCATGAAGAAAGCCGAACATTGATAGAGAGCAGTGCTAATGGGAAGTTCTGTGGTGCCTGAAGATCTTCCATCTCTGCCATCCGAGATATTCTCTCCATCCTCTACGGATTCGCATACTTGGAGGTTCCATCATTAGCTTTTCCTACTGCGAGGGGCAATTGATATGCATAAGCAAGACTGGTGAATATAATGGCATCAACCAGAAAATATACCCATCCTTGCTCGTTGCAGAAAAAAGCAAAAGCATGGTACTGCAGCAAGTTTAAGGAACTAGCTAACCTTGTTTGGCCCGTGCAAGAGCCTCTGCAACAAGCCTTGTATCTTCTGACTCGACATCTGATTTCAAATTCAAAACAATTAGTGAGCCTCAACACATATTTGCCATAAGACCTAACTCTGCAAGCCGAAGTACATGTTTATTCAAGGAGAGATGTCTACCAACGGTTCTGCCTTCCAGTACAACAGCAGCATGATGGTTAAGATCTTGCAACAATGACCATCTAAGCTGGCCATTCTGCGGTTCAACTGTGTCCTTAGTGCCATCATGAAAGATCCCATGCCCCTGCATGCCAGGAAATTCAACTGCAACATATTAACCTGATTTCTAAAATGAAAGCTGCAAAGTAATTGAATACATTAGAGTTCAATAGTTCAGAAGTGAGAAAATTGTTTAAAGCTTATTACAATTTAAAACATGCAGAAAAATTTGCCAACCAAACTAGAAAACCAACAGAGCATTAAAGGTTTGATTCTTGAATCAATAAGAAGGAGAGGGGAAACGTAAAAAGTTTTTACTGAAAACTACCATTAAAGTAGCCACGTGAAATTATCATAGCCATGTGATTTCTATCTCCCCATTACTATGACTCTAAAGTAACTTGGCCCCTGTAGCATAGGAAAAACCTTTATTGCAAGGTGGGTCTTGACTTATTTCTCACGCAGTAGCTGACTTACCACAAGATGAGTGTAGTCATCTCCCATATCAGCCTCCATGTCAAGGGTTGGATCAACTCGTCTAATCTGTGCATATATCATATAACAAATAAGAAACATACAAAGGCGGACATTTTCTTATCAAAGAAAAGCATGGACCTTGACCACAGAAAATCGAACAACCTTTTGCCGAGCCTCCCCAGCCAATATTTCATCAGGCTTCAGAAAGACAGCAAGTTCCTCGTCTTCAGCAGCTTCGGCTGCAGCTACCCTGCATATTGATATACGGCACAGACAAAGCAGAAACAAAGTATGATGCATACATACATTGTGTATAAAAGCCTTAATTTCTCTCAGATTGCCCAGAAATATAAGCAAGGATGGTTCCAGAGGAAAGCACGAACAAAGCTGAAAAAACATGACCTTGACATGAAGGTATGTGGCCGTCATCGGGTAGGATGTCCAAAAATGCCTCAGCAGTTCTTGTATAGACGTTCACTGCTGTAGAATACAAAGTTTGCTTAAAATTTTGGCTTCTGATCCTTTTCGGTCATCTTTTCAAGAAAAATAAATATCAAATTCTGCTGAGTCTAGTATTCGATGATTGATAAAGATCAACAAAGATAGATAATCATAGTATTTTCTTTTTACCTTACTCGGAACAAAATTTAAGTATGCCTGCCGAACAGCTGGCTTCTCAGCAAATATCTGAAAGTGCAGTGTAGAAAGACATGTCAGGTATGGAAGCTGGGATAGATGACGGAATAAAGCATTTAAACGTTCTCCCAGTAAATTTACAAGACTAGCCTACAACAGAAGGAGCATTGACATGCTCTGACAGCAGTTTCCCATTGGAAATCTGACCACCTAACTTATTTTATTTCCGCAAAACATATAACCGATTGCAACTCCAGCCACATTAATGCTACAACTTATATCTAAACCATGAAGCGATACAGGTCGAATTCAATACTGCAGAAAGCTCCTTACAGATCATAGAAATTAATCGGAAAGATAACTAAACCACAGAAAACCCTTAGAAACTTGCCTGGAAAATAATCTCCGGCGTTAAGTTAAATGTGACCCTATTAGTCTGACAGCAAAACATTGAAGAAAATGGTTAATACCCAGATGAAAAGTACATGTATGATGATAAATTGAGATGCTGCTAAACACATTAGATTATGAGCATCTATATTCATTCCAGCAGAAAAGATATCCATGCAGACAGGCAACTGAAGATGAGTAAGAACCAGGAATGGGTAGGAACTAGAGAGAGATTATATTATACCCGTCCATCACTAGACGGTTTGATGCCTGAGACCCATCACATTCTTCAGTCCAACCTGTTGCCTCGACTTTTTGCTAGGATCTTTACCAAGTAAGTTCTGCCACCAAATAAGATTGGTAACCGTAATAAGATAAGATGCTCAAAAGGTAATAGACGAAATGGATAAATGAAATCCATACAGAATCAGCCTTCCTTAACACCAAAACTCCTCTTCTGTCAAGATACCACTGAGCACAAATTGCTTATGCAATCTCTGCAACTCACTTCAACAAACATGTAGAGCAAAGAATTATAGAACCACATAAAACGATAATATTTCACCTACTCATTTGTTTTCTCGAAGTAGCTTGATGCGTAGCTGCATTTCTGCGCTGCTAAGTTGTTCACCAGATGTCGTGACAGCTAGTTTCTGAGGAGCCTCTTCGGATTTTGCAAGGGCCTTAGCTGCTCATAGGAAAAACATTTGCCGCAGCACAACCCATGAAAGAAAAGGAGAAAACCTTCCACTGAGCTAAAGTAATAACAGCAGTTGGAACTCACCAATAAAATCACGGCAAAACTCAAAAATGTGACTCCCTCCCTAAGACCAAAGACGAGGGAATACTTCAACAATGATAAGGGAGAAAAGATTGAAGGTTCACACGGATACCTGTTAGCTTTAAGCATGAATGCCGACAAGAGAACCTGCTTAGTGCTGAGATTCAGCCATGGAGGTTTGTTGGATCCTTCTTTCGTGTTTTTTTACCTGAAAATTCATCAAGAAGAAACTGAAGAAAGCCACACTTCAATGGCAAAACAGCAGAATTCCAAAAGACCTCTCTAACCAATGAGCAAAAAGAAATTATCAGTTGTTGAAATATAAGCAATGCAGATCCCTATCCAAGAAACCAGTGAAAGCATATATCATACATTCCAAATTTACAACCATAATAATGAGTAAATTATAATATATATATATATATATATATACCTTTGATGCTCTGAATCAGCACATTAAGCTTTGGAGCTGATTTCAGGTCGTTCGGGAGTCGGGACGAAGATCAGCGCTTCTTCCCTCTATTCAAGATACCAAGAAAACCAATTTCACAGATAATTTTTTATTCCCCGAACACATACCGAAACCAAATGCAAAAGCAGAAAACATCACATGTCCCACAACAAATCATTACTTCGTCCCAAGTTCTTCAACGGAAAATTTCCCGAGAAACAGAAGAATAGGAGAAGACGATGCTTACAATTCTGAAAAATCCAGGAGTTCCTGGATCCTTCACAGAGCTCTTGTGTTTCACTCGCTTCTCCACTTGCCCACTTGTCATTTTACAGCACACAGATAAAGAAGAAACTTTGCAGAAATTGAGATGATACGATCAGAAACCTTGGACTACTTCAGGAATCCATCTGTTAATCGGACAAATTGATGAAGATGCAGAAGCTCGTGCTGACACGCGATGAACAGAGCAATGCAGATTTTAAGAAATGCTGCTTGGCTTTCATTGAGTATTACACTGATATATATACAATGCAACAAATCTGTAACCTAGGATCTGTAAATGGAAAATAGAATCAGCAACGCTGATTTATAGGAACAAACATATATCTTCCTATACAGCAAATCTTTCCTTTCCACAATACCCCTCAAGTTGGAGCATATATATTGTATATGCCTAACTTGGACAAGAACGTTGCAAACTCCTTCCGGCCGAGGGATTTGGTGAATATGTCCACAAGCTGGGCGGAAGACGAGACATGACGAGTCGAAATGCAACCGGATTGTAGATGATGTCGTAGAAAACGACAGCTAACCTCCATGTGTTTCGTCATGTCATGGAAGACGTCATTTGACGCAATGTGCAGCGCCGCTTGGCTGTCACAGTGAAGGAACATCGGTTCAGAATGCCGAACTCCTAGTGAAGCAAGAAGTGATTTGAGCCATATGAGTTCACAGGTAGTAACCGCCATAGCCCTGTACTCTGCTTCTGCTGAAGAGAGAGAGACTGTGTGCTGTTTCTTTGAGCGCCATGAGACAGGAGAAGAACCCAGTTGGATTATGTATCCCGACAGCGAGCGTCGAGTCTGTGGACACCCAGCCCAATCTGAATCGCACCATCCATAGAGACGTAAATCAGAATCAGAATGGAGGAGAATCCCTTGTCCAGGATTGAGCTTCAAGTATCGAATAACCCGAAGAGCTGCTAGCCAGTGATCATGTCGTGGATTCTTCATAAACTGTGATAGGAGATGGACCGAGTAGGTGATGTCCGGACGAGTAGCAAGAAGGTACAACAGTTTCCCGATCAGCCGTCTGTATGGCTCGGGATCCTTGAGCGTCGCACTGTCAGTCACAACTAATCGATGATTCTGCTCTAACGGAAACATTGCTGGTTTCGCTGCTAGGAGGCCAGCCTGGGAGATGAGATCGAGAGTGTATTTCCGCTGAGAAAGATAGATACCAGAAGAGTTTCGAGCCACCTCAATCCCCAGGAAATATTGGAGACTGCCCAAATCCTTCATTTTGAAACATTTGCTGAGATACGCTTTGAAGGCCGACATCGCAGAGTCTGAATTTCCGGTGACGAAGAGATCATCCACATACACAAGGACATGGAGTCGTGTAAGATTCTTGTTGAAAATGAACAAGGAGTGATCAGCCTGTGTTTGGACAAACCCGTACTTGGTGAGTGCTGTATGAAGTTTGGCAAACCAACAACACAGTGCTTGCTTAAGCCCGTAAAGGGATTTTCGAAGCCTGCAGACAGCGTTCGGATGAGGAACCGTGAGGCCTGGAGGAGGCTTCATGTAGACTTCCTCAGACAGATCACCATGAAGAAACGCATTGTGAACATCCATTTGATGGACATTCCAATTGTGTGCCGCTGCAACCGCAAGAAACATGCGAACTGTCACCATTTTTGCAACCGGAGCAAACGTTTCTTCATAATCCACCCCTTCTGTTTGTCGATTGCCAAGGATGACTAGGCGAGCCTTGTGCCTTTCAATGGACCCATCAGATTTGTATTTTGTTCGAAACACCCATTTACAACCGATCGCTTTCTTATGCGATGGAAGATTTTCGAGAGTCCATGTATGATTCTGTTGCAATGCCAATAGTTCATCAGACATTGCCTTCTGCCATTTGTTGTCTTTTGCTGCCTCAGAGTAAGAACGCGGTTCTAATCCAGCTGTAACTTTGGCAACAAATGCTCGATGCTTTGGCATTAGCCGATCATACGACATGTATTTTTCGATGGGGAAAACAATACCTGGCTGAACTGTGATCGAGTTTGTGACAAAATCTTTGAGAAATACATTCTGGTATTTGGCACGATGTCCTCTTCCAAGGGCTAGTTCAGGGTCAGCTGCTGGTGGTGACATGGGCGTAACAGAGCCGGCAGAAGGTGTGTTCATGGTGTCGGGGGTGGCTGATTCGTGTTGATGTGGAGCATGAACGGGGTCTGAGCAGCGGGGCTGTGTACGAGACCGTGTCGGAAACATAATGTCATCATCCTGTTCTGCTTGTATATGCTGAGATAGAGGCGATACTGATTCAATAAGTGGTATCGCAGAATCCGTAGAGTAAGGAAACACAGTTTCTGAGAATACCACATCTCTGGAAACAAACAATTTTTTCGTTTCAAGATTATAAAGCCTCCAACCCTTCTGTCCATATGGATACCCGACAAAGATGCAACGTGAGCTGCGCGGAGCGAACTTGTCGTGTACTCGGTGAAGGTTATGAGCATAGCACAGACTCCCAAAAACACGTAGATGAGCATAGCTGGGGGGCTGTCCATGTAGAATTTGGTAAGGTGTTTGATTATTAGTCACCGAGGATGGAGTTCGGTTGATAAGATAGGCTGCTGTCAGAACACTTTCGCCCCAAAAATCAACGGGGAGACTTGCTTGAAACATCAAAGCTCGAGCAACATTCAGTATGTGACGGTGCTTTCGTTCAACTCTTCCATTCTGTTGAGGGGTGCCAACACAAGATGTTTCATGCAATATACCCTTAGTTGAGAAATATTTTCGCATGGCAATGAATTCCGCTCCATTATCAGATCTGATTGTTTTTACCATTGAATTATATTGTCGTTCAACGCGAGCAATAAATTCACGCAGCTTCGTTTGAGTCTCATATTTTCCAGCCATCAAAATTATCCAAGTTCCTCTTGAAAAATCATCAACAATGGTTAAGAAGTACTTTGCGCCGGAAAATGATGGAGATCGGTATGGTCCCCAAATATCACAATGCAGTAGCTCAAAAACCGCAGAAGCTTTATTAATGCTCATAGGAAATTTTTCTCTGGTCTGTTTTGCTCTCATGCAAATATCACAAATTTCAGAAACAGAAGTAGAAATATCAGAAACAGAGAGATCTGGAATCTTCGACAATGCCTTGGAAGAGAGATGGCCCAAACGCTTATGCCACAAATCAGCCGATTGAGATGTCTGAGTTCGAGTCACTGCTGAAGCTGCTGTCCCTCGATAGTAATATAAACCTGCTCGTTGTTCACCCGCTCCAATCGGAGTCCTGGAAATCCGGTCCTGAATCAGACAGAACGAAGGAGCAAATGTAACGAAACAATCACTGTCAGCCATCAGTTGACATATAGAGATCAGCTGGCAACGGAGACCCGGAACAAAAAGAACATTGTTCAGACGCAGATTTGGACCTAGAATCACTGAGCCAGCCTGTTTTGAGATAACTGTTCTATTATCCGGTAGAATTACCGAGCAAGATGAAATGGCAGAGACACCAACCAGAGACGAGAATAATCCAGTCATGTGTTGGGAACAGCCTGTGTCGAGAATCCAGGGAACAGAGGGTGACTTACCCGAAATAGTGTCGAGATTGCTGAGTTTGGACTGACTCAGCATGGCCATGAGATTAGTCCACTGTTCTGGTGTAATACCGGTGATGATGCCTTTGTCGGAGTCCGTCTGATGAGTCATCATCGATGGAGATGCAACTGTGGTTGCATTTGCACGAGCAACAGGAACACCAGGAGCAGCAGGAGCTTTGGAACGATCAGAATAAGTAGCAATTTTGCCACGGCCAGCTCCTGTGCGGTTTCTGGGTCTTTCGCCCCACCAATCAGGATATCCAATGAGTTGAAAACAACTCTCTGCAGAATGACCAGACCTGCCACAGTTGTTGCAGAGTGTGGTTTTGTCCTTGTCGTCATTTTTCGTTCTGGGTTTGAAGGAGCTACGAGCCAAAAACGCAGCAGCCTCTGGCCTATCTTCATGTGTTTGAATGATATGTTTCGCATCTTCATCTTGAGAAACAATATTGTAGGCTTCTTCAAGTGTTGGAAGAGGAAGCCGAGAGAGGAGATTCGATCTAACAATGGCATACCTTGAATCATCAAGTCCGAGAAGGAATTCATACAGTCGATCCTCTGCTCGTTCGTTTTCCAGAATTGATCCAATGTCACAAGTACAGTTCTGGCATTTGCAGTGCTTCAATGATCTGAAATTCGCAAGGTCATCCCACAATTTGGTAAGCTTACCAAAATAAGCTTCCACTGTCATTCCTTGTTGGCGACAATTAGCCAAGTCGCTTCGGATTTTCAGAAGGCGTGGCGCATTCGATCTGCCAAAACGGCGTTTCAGATAGTCCCACAAATCTTGCGCGAGTTCACGGTGAACTACATCAGATCTGAGATGAGATTCCAATGTGTTCTTAACCCAGGATACGATGAGCGCATTATTTGTATCCCAGTCTTCAAAATCTGGTGACGTTGCTGCCGGTTTTGGTATCGTGCCATCTACGAAACCAAACTTCTTGCGTGATTTTAGCGCCTGACGAATGTTAATCGACCATTCGTCATAGTTATCTCCCTTAAGCAATGGTTGAGAGAGAATCAAACCGGGGTTATCGCTCGGAGTTAAATCATATGGAGAAATAGTTCTCCTGGCAGCAATCGGCACATCTCGTGTAGTCGGAGGAGTCGGGGTCGAGGAGGGTTCGGTGTTGGCACTGGAGGACATGTCGGATTCGAGTTCGGGATCAAGAAAAGAGGGGAAAAAAAAACAGAGATTTCGCTTTCGGTGTCGAATGTATATGTCAAAGCTCTGATACCATGACACGCGATGAACACAGCAATGCAGATTTTAAGAAATGCTGCTTGGCTTTCATTGAGTATTACACTGATATATATACAATGCAACAAATTTGTAACCTAGGATCTGTAAATGGAAAATAGAATCAGCAACGCTGATTTATAGGAACAAACATATATCTTCCTATACAGCAAATCTTTCCTTTCCACAATACGTGCTTCGATGAATCAGGGTTTTAATCCCAGATTCCTGCAAAGTTGTTTCCCGTTTCCCCCGTAACCAAACAGGCGCGTGTGTATATATATGCATACGCGAAGGACACCTGTCTTCCGTTTGAGCATTTGGAGGAAGACATGCACGCCGTTTAATTGGATGTCTGTGTCTGGGGGTATTTTCAAATCCACCCCGATAGAGTTACCTATTATCATTATTATCCCGATATTTAGTTATTTATTAGATATTAACTCAAAAAACTAAACATTCAGAAACCACCCACGACACACCCAAAATATTTTGGTTTTGGAGCTGAGGGGAAAATTGAAGATGTAATTCGGCAGGTCACTGTTTGTTTTGCGCAGTTTGTGGATTTTTTTTTTGTTATTACCTCGACATGCTGTACTATAAATTTCCTATTGGTCGTATTGTCTTATCCCTCGACATGCTGTACTCCTCTCTCGAGTATCTATTAAAGAGTATATTACCGGTTTAAATCGACTAAAATTCTACTAAACCCAACCAAACCAGCTTGGTCTAGCAGATCGAATTGATTGCTACTAAACCAACCCGATCTAAACCGGTGTCTGTCATGTACTTGATGTACAACATCAGTTGATGAGAACTTGATGGAAGCAAGAAATTGCAATGAACTTCTCAGAACCAAATGCAATGCACAACGAAAACATCTTTGAGTTTCCATATCTAATGGTAAGTGGTTTTCCAATAACTCGTACAGGGGAGATTCTATATAATCAAAGATCTTGTAACTTCTGCAACATTTCATACAAACATCCAAACTCGGAACCAATCAGCAATCTGAGTGCAACCCTCAATAGAAGAACAAAATTATAGATTCCCGAAAAAACTTGTCTGATTCAAAACCTTTCTGCTAATCTAGCAGTCACAGCTCGAAGCTTGGAGTAAACCTTCCCGGCAGGAGATCCCAAAATGAGACTACAAAGAGAATCTCTTGCAACCTTAATGTTGGAGAAAGCTCCCAAGATGTGAATCTTGGTGTCTGCAATCACAATCCTTGTCTTTGTAGCATTCTCGATGGCAAACTTCGTCTTCCCGCCTTTTCCAGACAATCTACCAATGGCCCGAGACAAATGCTCGCCTCTCAGTGTCTTCACATCCTTGATCTCAAAAGACTCCACATAGAGCTCGTCCAGACGTAAAAGTGCAACAGCGTCCACAACATCAAAACCCATCATGAAGGCATGGACAAAATCAGCGGATTTTTGGAGATTACTTATGTCGGGTGTGTCTGCACGGGTTTTGAGCTCAACTTTGCGGGATTTGAGATTCATTCGTATGTCTATCTTCATCTGCTCATGGACAGGTGTGAAGATATCTAACCATGCTTTCTTGATGGGAGCGTACCGGTGAGGTGGGACAGGTATCTTTCTGAATTGAACCCGACCATCGGATATCTCATGAGCCTTTAAAGGCTCAAAGACTGGCTTAGGCGGCAATGACCCCGGTTCAGATACAGGTTGAACTTCCATCTGAGTAGAGTCCCCCATTGATTTATCTTGAGTGACGAATTTGAAGCCTGTACAAAAGGATATCATTGGTCAAAGTACAGATCTTGCAACCTTACAGAAAGCTTTTCCCAAAAATTATTGATTCATTATTTTCCAGGAATCTCCCCCCACGAACTCTATCTTGGACCTAGATTCGACTCGATACAAATTCATAGAGTTAGTCAAATAAACAAAGCAGGAGAACATCAATCAATGCTTGCAAAGTGAATGAAAAATCTCATAACTCAGTCTCAATAAACTTAGTCAACCCAATAAAAGTTCTTCCAGAGTTTTCATAACCCAATACTTTCCCT